AACAGCAGCAGAAGCACAGAACCCAAGAATGAACTAACAGTTACCAAAGGGAAAGGGACTGGGGAGGACAGGTGGGAAGGGAGGGATAAGGGCAGGAAAAAAGAAAGGGGGCATTACGATTAGCATGTATAGTGTTGGGGGGTCACGGGGAGGGCTGTGCAACACAGAGAAGACAAGCAGTGATTTTACAGCATCTTACTATGTTGATGGACAGTGACTGTGAACGGGTATGTGGGGGGGACTTGGTGAAGGGTGGAACCTAGTAAACATAATGTCCTTCATGTAATTGTAGATTAATGATACCAAAATAAAATTAATTAAAAAAAACTTGTTGTAGTTTGGTTTTTGAAAATTACTAATTCTCCCAAAACCCCAGTTTCATTAACAGTAATGGAACAGCATCTTTTTCTTAACTAGGGACACAAGGAATAGGGAAGAGAATGTAGTGGCGCAGTTAACAAATGGTGAGTAATACACAGTAAGTACTCAACAGAGGTTGAGTTGAAAATAATATATGGTGAATAATAATAACTGATGAATACCATATCATAGATAATAACATTTCCTTGGTCAGGCTCAGTACAGAGGCTCAGGGTCAGGTAGATCAATTAAGGTCAGGTAACTCCATCACTTGGTTTCTGAGAACAGCCCTGGTGGGATTTACAGCTTTGGCCCCATCTCTTGGCCAGAATGCAATGCTGGGAGGACATGCCCAGCAGGCTCATTCTATCCTCAGATTTCTTCCCCCATGGGGATCAAGGAGAGGGAGCCCAAGCCTTGGATTATGAAGACATTCCTGCATCTCCCTGTGTAAAATGATAATGCCAAACATTCCTGGCATCAAGTAAGGGAATGTGTCCCCCATCCAAGGCTCCTTGTGCCCACACGGTTACTAGGTATCTGTTGATATTAGACCCTGGGGACTGTCTTTAAGATCCTTGTTTTTTCCCATTTGTCCTTTTGTGTTGAACATCTGAGTTATACAGGTGATGCAGGGTGCTTCCACCTCCTGGCAGTGACTGTTGCCTTAAAGGAAAGTTTCTCAGTAGACTTAATTTTTTTAGAGCAGTTTAAGGTTCAAAGCAAAATTGAGCAGAAAGTGCACAGAGTTCCCATTACTGCCAACTGCACCCTCGCCAGCTTTCTCCTCCACTATCAGCACCTCCCAGCAGAGTAACACACTTGTCACAGTTGATGAACCTACACTAACAAGTCATTATCTTCCCAGCTCCACAGTTTGCATTAGGGGTCCCTCCTGGTGTTGTACCTTCCATGGGACTTGATGTTGTACATCAGCAGTTGCCCCAGGGAAGTCTATCCAAATGAAATGGGCAAGGCTGGTGATGCTAACCTATTTCCAAATGACCTGCTTTGGAGAAGAGTGTGTAAGATTGAGGAGAAGTGCAAAAGAAAGAAGGAAAGGCAAGAAGGAAGAAAGGAGAGAGAGAAAAGAGAAAGGACTACCCCCTCGCCCCCAGTTTGTGAAGCTCTTCACAGATGGAGGTTAGTGATGGTTCTTGCCTAAAATGTCCATGCTTTCCTCCTGGTTCCTAAATCTCCTTCTGCCGTCCTGCCTCTGGGCCCTCCTCCTCCCTGAGAAATAACCACCTCTGAAACTTTCCCTTGCAGCTCCTTCTCTCCCACCCTGCATCCTCTAGGGCTACAGGATGAGGCCCCCACACTGTGATGGGGGAAAGTTTTATTTTGAAAAAAAGTCTCAGAAAGGGAGACTGGAGCAATTCTGGAGGGATTTTTTTCAGCACCCAAGACAACTTACTTTAATTGCTCTTGTTAAGTTCTTATAAGGAAATCTAAGCCAGACTCCTGCTCTGACAAATGAAGCCCGATGGGGAGCTGGCTGCCTCTGGAGAGCCCCGGGCAACGCTGAGATGTCCTTCCAAACAGGGACCCAAACAGCTGAAGGGCTCCAGTTACCCAAGAGGGGAGTGACAAGGACACTGTGCCAGTAGGAGAAAGGAAAGGAGTGGGGCTAGGGAAGTGGTAGAGAGAAGGACAGAGGAGAGAGGAGGACAAGGTAGGGGGTGGGCGAGGAATGAGTGACCCAGGATGTGTAGGATGCAATGAGCCACAGCTGTCGATCAGCCTGGGGGCAGGGAGCAGAGCATCCTGTCCCTGTCCATACCCCTTGCTGCACTTTGGGGGACTGAGATGGCACTCACTTTGAGCCTCAGCATACGATTGGTGACTTAACAGCACAAACTACACCCTGCCTGTAGTGGAAACCATTCTGGGCGACCCCCACCACCAGGGTCACTAAGGTCCTTGAATGGCAAGTGGCTCTTATAAACTAAGCTAGCCAACTGTGAGCCAGCACGTGGAGTTTGTCCTAAATCTTTGATTTAGGATTTAAATATGTATTAAGTTTTTTAAAACAGTGAATTAAATGCACGCACATTTAAACATTTTTATTTTACCTTGTTTTTGCTCATTTGCATTTTCTGAGTTTTTCCAAAATGAATATTGCTTATGTTGGCAACAATAAAAATAAATCATTTTCAATTATAAAAATTGAATTGGTTTGAAAAAATTTACAAAACAATTTTTTAAAATTTTGTAGAGAAAGGGATGAAAGGATACAAATCAAACTGTTAAACTTGGTTAACATGTGGGATGGAGGTGGAATTGGACACAAGAGATGTAAACTTGTCAACTTTTTAAACTGTCTCTACATTGTTTGACTTGTTAGAATGAATGTGTATTACCTTTGCCATTTTGAAAGTAAATTCCAGGAGGAAAGAAAAATTTTTTAAATTTTGCCATGTGTTTTTAAAAAGCAAGGCTGTTTCATTAAGTGAAACACTTTGAATTCACTAATTTCTAATTATATAAAATTTTGTTAACTGAACATTATTTTCTTAACTCTTTAGCAGATTATTTCTGCCAATTTTACTTTATGTCATCCTATCTGACCACAGGTGAATTTTGCATTTGTCCCTCGATATCAACCATACAGGTCTTTCTTTCACAAGCATATGTTTCCACCAGATAAACTCATACACGTGCATTTAATTCAGAGCTTCAATAGCTTGACTTTTCTCAACACTGAAATTTCAAGCTGACCGAAAAATCTACAAAATCATTTAACAAATATCTATGATCCACCCTCTGGATTTAACAATTGTCACTTTTCCATATTTGTTTCAGATCCTTAAAAATAATTGCAATAAATAATAATAATAATGAAATATTACATTTCTTTCTTTCCTGCCTTCATCCCAATAGCAACTGTTTCCTGAAAGTTTCCTGTCCTGTGTTTCAGATTTTTATTTTATGTGTATCCATAAACAACGTACACTGTTTAAAAATTTTTAACTGCACCAAAATAGTACAGTGCTATTATATAATTACATATATAATTACTGTTTTGCTATCTTTCAATAACTTTTTTTGGGAGATTTATCCACATTGGTATGTGTGGCTCTGGCTCATTCATTTTCATTGCTGTATATCATTCCACTGTATAATTCCACTGCAATTTACTTATCCATTCTCTTACTAATGGACATTTAAGACTTTTCTCATTTTTCTTATTGTAAAAAATGCTTTACCAAACACCCTTCTCGGTGACTTCCTGTGCTCTTGAATCAGAACCCACCCCAGGGATTGTCCCAGCGGTCCTTGAAACACCTTTTAAAGTTTAAGAGTAAGAGGAAAAAAAATGTACAAAGTTTCAGGTTTTCTTCAGGAAGTTGGGTTGTAATAAGGATTCTGGATCATTTTGTTTCACCTAAGGATGAATTTTCCACTTCCCTCTCACCACTTTCTCCCAACTTTGAAAACTGGGAAACTTCTTAATCAAAGCCCTGATTATGAAGCATTTGTTGGTCAGAATTCAAAGAACTAACTCCTCCTGAAGCAGAACTGATGAATAGGTTGCTTTTTCCCTCCTTCCTCTCAGAATATTGCATATCCATTTCACGTTAAACGACATCTCAAGATCAACGACCTTATTCAAGAAAGAAAATATCTTGGTAAGTAGAGTGACAATGAAAAATCCTGAATCCTTATGAGCCAGACTGACGGATATTCCCACGCTGTTACTTGATGAGCATCCTCTGATGATATTTTTTTCCCTCCTTCGAGGTCAATTTCAGTGTGTGTGTATCAACAGATTCCAGGTGATGGACAGGTCGCTTCATTTTGATCTTCTGTTGGTGTAGAGTGACCTTGGCCTTTCCAGAAGAGGTAAAATAAGTCCTCCTGGTGTTGCCCTCTCCTACCTCCCCTCGGCCCTGTCATATGTCTGTCTTCCCCATCTGAGGGCCACCAAGGATTGACAGAGCCCATGACGATTGGCCGCGGCCTGGGACCTGTGGTCACCTGAGCACCTGCTGCAGAAGCATGCAACACCTGCCCCAAACCTTCCCAAGGCCTCCCAGTGCTGCCCACAGCTCAGACCTGTGCCCCAAAGTGTGCTGGATGCCTAGGAATGGTATGCAGGATAGACCAAGGGGGCCCACTGCTCACAGTCTGTTGCATTTTATCAGTTACTAATTTTGAGGCATATGTCACCAATGTAATTGCTGAGGCAAGGTTAAAATGAGCATTTCAGTTTAAAAAATCATAGTTTTAAAATAAAAATATTAAGTACGGAAAGGTGCATGTGAATTTGGCAGGTATTACTCAGATCACATGGAAATGATTAGATTTGGGGCACGTTACCTGAGCCAGAGCTGCCAGGCTGAATGTACTGTACATCACCGAACTTACATGAGCAGCACACTTAGGTGGGCATGGCTTTGGGGGCCTCCCTTCATTTCTCTGAGTCTCAGTTTACCTACCTGGAAAATCCAGGAATTGGGCTAGATCAGTGATTCACAGCCCTGCCTTCACATTTAATTCACTTAGGGCAAATTATTTAAATACTGATGCCTGCCATCCTCTGCAGACCAACTCAGTGAACGTCACTGTGGGTTAGGCCAGGCATCCGTATTTCAAAAAAGCTTCTCCAGGTGATTATGTTCTGGCAGGATGGACAGGCCCTAGATACAATGAGGTCTGAGTTTCCTCCCAGATCAACGGATTTTCCTGATCCCGTAGGCAGACTACAAATGCAGAGTGGTTGTTGATTCAGTGACAGTGGAGGAGGCTCGTTGCCCCCTGTAGGCTTGGCCACAGCATGTGTGATAGTTAACTACTGTCCAGGCTTGGTCAGCACTGATCTGGAAGCTCCCTAAGGGCGGGGCCTATGTCCTTTATCTGGGTTTTGCCAGTTCTTACCCTGGTACTTAGTAGAGTGTAAGTGCTACATAAATGTTGGATGAAATAATGAGGGTTGAAGTTCAGTAACATATTTAATCAGGACATCTAGGATTCATCAAGCGGTTGGAAATTAGTAACCAAACTCTTAAGAGACTAGTTTTTATACCGGAATTCCAGTTTGTTTCCAAAGGGAGCCCTCTGGGTCCAAGAAGTGGAACCACTCTTTGTGCCATTGCGGTCCCTTCTTGGTGAATGGATCAGGAGGTTACTTGGTGAGTACAGAACCAAAGCTGGACCTTCTTATGTACTATTCCTATTAAGTTCTGATCATCTGGTGGCCTGGCCTCCACTTCTTTAAGGCTATTTTTATGTAAAGAGTCAGGCTCAGTCATCCAGAACCAGAGCGGCTGGAGGACCTCCTGGTTACACACAGATAGATGCTCATTTTCCAACCTCCCCTTTCCAAATATCCATACAGACCACCACCCTGCCGTTTACACTTGTTACCACAACACACAGTTTCCTAAGTGTCGGATCGTTTTGCACTTGAGTTAGGAGGCTGCCTGCTAATGACATACTTGGGACAGGCACTTTAATCTCCTCAGTAAGGTCACTGCAAATCACTCTGCAAGATGGGTTACTTCAGGAAAGCTGTCCTGTAGACAGCTAATCCCATCCTTCTTGCAAGCTTGACTTACAGAAATGGCATCTGCTGACCTTATGCTTTAGGAGCCATCTTATTTTGAGGCCTGCAGTGCCTCATCCACCGTCTACAGTTACCATAACTAAAAATATTTTGGAAGGTGATGAATCTTCAAGGAGACTTTGCAACCTGAACAGTATTTCTTGTGTTTTGGTGCCATAGTCTCAAGGCACTAGCCCTCGTACTGTGCTAAGTTGTATACTACTTTCTAGACCAATATTTCATGTTATAGTTGATTAGAAGCCAATCTTGATGCTGAACCTTGTGATTATGTCACCTTTTCCCCACCAACGTGGCCAATAATCATGTTGCCTGTGCTTGCCCTCAGAGCACCATCTGCATGTAGCCCACCTTCCGTGGGCATTATTCTCACACTTCATTTTTCCCATCTGTGAGTGTCATGATGCTCCTACATGCCACCTCCATCTCCCACCCCCAGTAGCATAATCTGTGAGCTTCCACATAAGCCTGATGTCAGAGGAACAGAGATGTATTTGTGTTGCCCAGGTACTGGTATGTTTCTACATCCCTGTAAACCATTGATTCAAAGAGCCATGTGAGTGTGGCTCACGGTCACTCACCCGCCGAGTTTGCCAGTGTCTGATTTGGGGCATACATTTTTTTAGGCTCCAACACTTGCTGCCCTCCGGTTTTTAGTGTGCTTAAATAAAAGGAAGTACTTCCACCTTATAAAAATGTAAGAGTAACTCTGAGGACTTGCTCTTATATTAGGGTTGCTCTTCTTTAAGGTTCATGTATATTTTTCCTGCCACACTTACAGTCTAATTGGACCACAGAGGATGGATATACACAAGATTGTGTGTATGTATAGGTACTTGTACACGAATAGAAGATATATGGAAGGATGTACAAGAAATTAGAAACTGATTACTTTAGGAAAGGGGACTGATGAGCTAGGGTAGGAAAGAGATGTTATTTTTTATTTTAAAATCTTTTTGCTATTTTAGACTGCTCCTTCACCCGTTAAACAAGAGGTACTATCTGAATGATCATAAGATCTTTAGAGTCCCTTTTCTAAGAGTCTATAATAATTCTCTGGAACTGAGGGTATTTCTTGTACTTTATTTCTTTAATGTCTTTATTAAATTCAACTCCGTTGGTTATATTAGAGATACCTCATTTTTCCAGCATTGCCTGAGAATGAAATTTCCCACACAGAGTTCACCAGGTCAATGAATCAAATCCCTTTATATTGTTGAAGTTTGTAATAACTTCTAATGGCATATTAACATGTTGTTTTACATACCTTCCTATCTTCTTTTTTTTTTTTTTACAGCTTTATTGAGATATATTTCACATACCTTAACATTCACCTGTAAGAGTCCGGTGGCAGTTAGTATAGTCACAGAGGTGCAGACACCACCATGATCTAATACTAGAATATTTCACCAAACCCCAAAACCTCCATCCTGTGAAGCAGGCATTCCTCTTAAACTATTTCTGTCTATGGATTTGCCTGTTCTGGGCTTGTCACCTACATGGAATCATATAACATGTGGTCTCTTGTTCTTACTCTCTGAAACAGAGTTGAGTTAATAGTATTGCATGTCCTCTTGACAATTTGGGCTTATTATTGTTGTCAGGATGCTCTTGGCAACCTCAAGAAATTCTGAGGCAGGAAGGCTCTTTGCTTCCAGATTCCATGAGCCGTGCATGACTCTGTCAGGGCTCTGTTGCTCCTTCTCGAATACCTTGCTTTATGACCCTTAACTCTCATTTTAATCATTCCTTTCCCGTCCTCTCATTTTTGCAAAGTTGGACCATTAGTACCTAAAATAGATCAGGCCTGAGGTCTCATGTCTTCCCTTACCCGGCTCTTAATGTGACTTCACTGTGGGCCTGTTTGGTGTGCTTCGCTCCTTCTCCGGGAGTGATGAAACAGGCTGAACTCCTCTTCTTTTATTGCTGTCTTCAGCATCTTGTATCATTCAGTCAGCTAAATTCTATCTTAGAGATAAATCCCCCACAAGGAGTTTATGATCTCTCTAGTTTAAGTAGTGTTAAACCCTTTGATTCCTTCTATCCTTCCTCTCGTCTTTCTTAAAATAGTCTGTGGCTCTCCTGTCAAGGACTTTATTGACTTCCCTTTCTCTAAAATTGCATAATTGTAAAAGAAGTCTTTCTTTTATTTCCCTTGAAGAGCATGCATAATCAAAACATTCTTGGATTGAACCTCCAGGCAGGCTGGGGCAGAGCAGCCCCTAGGTCAACAGGGCGCATGTCTGCCAAGTCCGAGAGCATTTCAATGTGTGGCAGGGAGAGAGGGTTTTTGACATCTAAACTGTCCTGGAAAGCAGAGTCTCTGTAAGTATTTTCTGTACGTTTTGGTAGGAATAAGGTGAAGGGGCAAGAGTCTTGGGCCCGGCTTGGGTCTGGCTCAGGCTCTTACAGGGGTTGTCTGAGGTTTGACTCAGTTTGGCAGGGAGGGAAGTGTCGCCGTCCTGTGTTTGGCTGGAGGAGCGCGGCAGGGTCTGACCAGCAGTAGGTCGCAGGAATTTGAGATTTCAGGGCTTCTCTTATGCTCATGGTCAGGAAAAGCCCAGAAGTTTGGGGCACACTTGCTGAGAGCAGCTCTGTGTGGCTGTGAATATGGAGACCCAAGAAAAGTCAGTCTCTGTCACAGAAACCAGCCCTTCACTGGGCCTGACTTGGGCAGGGAACAGACGGCTAGTAGAAGAGAGCCTGGCCCACAGCAGATGCAGTAAGTATCTGAGGGGCAGTAACACCGCATCGCTGGTGTTTCGGAGCAGTTAGGCACCGTCTGGCATGAGAAGGTGAAGAAGAGCCTGAGGCCCAGCGGGAAATGCTGTAATTTGGGGCTGATCTGCTGTGGGCGCAGGCGAGCCAGGGAGAGCAGCACAGGGCATGCGGAAGTCCTGTTGTGGGAAGTGGGAACAGATGTAAACTTGAAGATGTTGAAGTGGCCCTAAGTTACAGATGGGCTCTGGGGAAGAGTTTGGGTGCATCCATTTCAGGATGACCTGATACCAGAGGCCTCTGCTGAGCTCAGACCTGGGCAGACTAGTGGTCTAGGATGCCCCCAGGCTCAACCCCAAGTAAGCAGAACTGAGGCAGCCTCCACAGCAGCTCTGCTCCATGGGCGCGCGTTTGACTAACCAGGAAGGCATCCCTCCATTAGTGACCCAGGACTGCCCTCTGCTGGCAAATCCCATCAAAGGCACATTGACTAAAAGGATTCCTTGGGGAGCCTGTTTTTATTTACAATTTCTTAGCAGATGCCCTCAGCATTTGGCTTTCAGAGTAATATTACCAATCTACATGAACTCAATCCTGCCATGATATGAGCATAATAATCAGGAACAATAATGTACTTCATGCCTTTGTCTGATTCTGCCAACAGCCTGAGACAATTTAATTAGCCTTTAAGAACTACCACTTAGTAAACATTTAGTATATGATAGGCATTGTGCTAGAACCTTTATTTGTGCCATAACATTAATCTTTAGGAAAGGTGCTATAATTACTCACATTGCCCATAAGAAACAGGCTCAGAGAGGAAGCTTCACTCTTGCTGCAAGAATATAACATTCAGTCCTGGGTGCCACCAACCTGTTAATAACAGTACCCCCACCCCCAGCCCCACCCCAGACAGTGAGAATGAGAGGGGAATGGAGGAAGCAGAGACACTTCTATTTTATGTTTTACAGAAACATTTCCATAATGAATATATATTGCTTCTCTATGTATTTTATAATGTAGACTGCATTCTGGGTGTCACACGTGATGAAGGCATATGCCAGTCAAGCATATCCAGAAGAGGACATCCAAGAAGGAGGGGCAGGCAACAAGAACTGGGACTCTCTCGCCCTGTGAGGCATGGCTTCATAAGAATCTGGTAGCTGCTGTCTGACCCTTGATGAGCCAACAGTGGGTATATTCCATGTCTGTCTCCTGCATGCAGAGCCAGGGCCAGGGCCGTGGGTTGCTCATGGCAGATTTCAGCTGCATGTCAAAGCATTTCGCTGGTGGGACTGTCCCACCAGTGAAAATGACTTGTTGAGGTGTGACATCTTTGGACGGGCATAGATAGGAGGCTGCTGGGAAGTTTATCAGGAGAATCATTGATGGGTACAGGTAGTGGGTAGTAAGTCCTTAAAGCCTCTGATGTCGAGCCTGTGGTACCCACGCCCGCCTGTAGGTGGCAGTCTTGGCTCAGAAGGGACCCAAGCCGTTGGGTGCCGGGATTCTCACTCTTGGCCTGGTATCTTTTCACTGAGGGCATTCACTGGAGGGAAGGATTCTGATTTAATTAGTTGGGTGTGGCCTGGGCCTTGGGATTTTTATAGCTCCCCTGGGCCTAGGGGGAGGGACTGATTGAGTGCCTCCACCCTGCTACTTCTATTGGTTTAGTGCAGCTTGCGGCCGTTCTTGTCTTTCACTGAACTCTGCAGGAGTCCACAGAAAACAACTAGACGCATCAAAAGAAATATCACTAGACGCTTTAAAGAATACTAGCTCATTCAGAGAGGGAAAATAAAAGGTCCCTCCCAAAACAAGGAGAGAGAAACAAGAGCTCAAGCAATGCATGAGGGCGTGATAGGCACTGAATTCCCTCAGGGAAAGAGTCGGACCAAGCCTCACAGAGGGCAGGAGAACATTCCAGAAGGCAGGGTGATCCCTGGGCTGGGGCTGGAGAGCATGCCCCGTAATGCAGAGGCTTTGGCCTGTGGCCAGGTGGAGGCAGTTTGGAATTCAGGACTCTGGGGGTGTAGGCTGGCAGAGGCGGATTCAGGGAGGATGAGAGGCCTCCTGAGGGGAATGGGCACCTGACCGTGACAGTGAGCCGTGGGGCCTACAGCGCCGTCCCCAGGCACGGCTCTGCCTTCAGACATGCCCAGCCCAGCGTCGAGGTCTCACAGGGAGAAGCCGACACAGCTATTCCCATAAAGCTTAAGACACTGGCCACAAACCACGCGGCTCTGGAGCAGGCTGGGACTGGGGTGAGCCGAGTGAGTGCAAAATTTAAGGAGTAACAAAAACTCGGTAATTAATGAGATAATCAACATTTCAATGCAGTATTTTATCAACCAAGATTAATGTAAAAGAATCTATCATGAACAGAATGTCAACATTTTAGATTAAGAAAGGATTTGTAGTGGGTTTTCCTTTTGCCTTGGTTCCAAAATGGCACAAGCACAGCTGTGGATTTTTCTACCAAAGTGCCGGCTCAGGGTGAAGGGGAAGTCTTCTGTCCTTTTCCAGCTGCACTTCACCAGAGCCACCGGTGAGCTCTGGCACCCCGAGAGCTTCAGCACTCTAGTCCCTGGTTGGGGACTGTGGAGGCTGGCAGAGCAGGGGCGCCACCTAGTGGGAGATTCCCATGCCAAGGAGCGACAGGTGATGTCAGGGGAGCGACAGAGATGCCCGGAAGCCGTCCAGGAGATAGGTGTCCTGTGCCTGGGAGACACGATCTGGGGACATTCTCAGGTGGTAGCCGGGGACTATGTCGACAGATGGACCAGGATGTGGTGTCCTGTCACCCTATTTGTTCTGCCAGCCATGTACCCCAGGGCAGGAAGTTCCACGACAGCCTCAGCACTGCTGGGGTGACCTCACAGCAGCCACTTTCCTCCACGTCCTCACTTGGGAAGTGAGAGGGTGGGCATAGACCCTCTCTGTGACTCCCGTGCTCTCCAGGGTTCTCTGCCCAAATTTCTAACTCCGGACGGGTGTGAGAAAACCAGCTCTGGGGGAAGCAAAACGCACTCCTGTCAGGAGCTCCAGGTGACTTCTCAGGGGGCATCCCCACCTCAGCATCTCCGCCAGTCCACGGAGGGGAGGAGGAAAGGGCTCCCTGCGTGGAGGAGTGCAGCCAGTCTCAGGGTGCGGCTCGTGGTTAAAACTTCCGAGCAAATACAGTCTGTGTCGAACAGTCTGGCACTATATCATGATTCTTATAACTAATCCATAGAATCTTAGTCAGAGTGGGTGACTAGGAGTTGTGAGTGCCCAAGTAGATTAACAAGAGGGAAATAAGCAAAGATTTACCCAGAGAATTTAGATAAACAGCAACAACAAAAGGCATGTAGAGCTAAAGATTCTGAGAATGCATCCAGGGCAGTGGTTCTCAAAGTGGGGTCCCTGGTCTAGCAGCATCAGGATTTCCTGGGAACTTGTTAGAAATGCAAAGTCCTTGGCTGCACCCTAGACCTGAGAATAGAAAATTGGGGGTCGGGGGGGGGGTCAGTAATGGGAGTTTTAATAAGCCCTCCCGAGGATTCAGTGGCATGTTAATATTTAAGAACCCCCAATTTGAGCTATACTTCTCAAGCTTTAGCTGCCTACCAATCCCCTGGGGATCATTTTGGAGTCAGTTTGGATTCAGCAGTCTGGGGAAGGGCCTGAGATTCTGCATTTCTCACAGGCTCCCAGGTGGTGGTGGCATTGCTGGTCCTTGGACACTTGGACGGCAGGATCTGGGCCTGTGTTTCCCAGACCGGCTGTGTGGTAGAAATCACCTAGGTGCCTGTTAACCACCCAGGTTACCAGATCTCTCCCCTGGACATCCCTTTAGAAGATCTGGCTTGGGGCCCAGGAATCTGCTTTGCAAAGTAGCTGCTCCAAGAGCTTCCCTTTAGGAAGATCACTAGATTCACTAGGCACGCCTTTAAATGCAGATCCACAGGCTCCAACCTGACCTGCTGGATCAGACTCAAGGTGGAGTCCTAAATCCCGTACTTCTAAAAAGTACACCAGGCAGTTCTGATGTACTAGGTTTTGGAACCCTTGGGACAGCTCAGAGCTCTCATTTTTTTAGGTAAGGACTTGAAACCTGGAGAATGAGCTGCCCAAGATCATGAAACTGGAAGCAAAGTTAAGACTGGAACTCAGACTTTCTCATTCTTAGTTCAGTGTGCTTCCACTAAACTCTCTGTGTATAAGTGTGCAAATTGAAAATCTCATCCTGGATAGGAACTGGGATACAAAGTAAGATTACTGGGATACAGTAAGACCATAAGTCACTACTACTTGGGGAAAGTAGAGGGAAAAGAGATGCATCCCCAGAAATGCACACAAAGGATCAGGAGATGACTACTAGTGGACGTGGAAGACCAAGAGAACTCACGTGTGTTCGGATTTCGTGGCTGTGGTGGGAGGAGCAAATGAGAGCCACGTCTGAGGGCAGGTGGGATGCCAGGTGAAGGGTCAGTCTCAGGCCTGTACACTCAACCAACAGGCAGAGGGGGCCGTTGATGTGTTTGGGCAGAGTGGTGACAGGGCAGAGCTGTGTTCCAAGTAGGCCCAAAGGAGGACTAAGCTGCATCAACTAATATGAACGCACTTGGCCCTGACGCTGGTTGCCCTGGACGCAGTTCACTCCTTTGGCCAAATGGCTTGTGCAGTGTGTGTGTATTTCAGATCCCCACACCTTCCTATCACCAGGCTTTAAAATCCAAAAAGGGGTTTCAGTGGAACCATGAAAGGTAGGAAAAGACCTGTGAAAATTGCTTCTTCCTTTTGTGTAATAACGAATATTCATTGTCTTTTATCTCAGCAACTCAGCAAGATTTAAAGCCCAGAACTGCTACTTATATTCCCTTACAGAGATGACGAGAGCCCGTGTTCATATTCAATCTCATGTTTCGGACAGTGAAACAAAGGCAGTAGATGGCATTACAAGACAAGAACTTTGAGGAAGTGGGGTGCCGGAACCCAGGTCCAATGAGTGTTAACCGTGTGTCGGTACCCAGCTGCCCAGGCAGCAGAAATGGACCTGGGGTCACAGCCAGAAATTTGAATCCCAGCTTGTGTTGCTGTATGGTGTTCAAAAGTTTGGGGGTCCCTGATTGCTGACAGAAGTATGCCCAAGGGTACACCAGCCCAGCTGCTGCCACTCTGACTCCTACCAAGGGAGACACAGAGGAGGGGGCAGAAACAGGAAGATACCCTCTATTTAAGGCTCCCACTGATGGCAGCAGGATTGAGGTCATAGCTGAACCTCTCAAAAGCAAGAGTGAGCCCCATCGGGCTGCACACGCTAGGCCATGTCAGATTAATGTGGCCACATCAAACCTGAGCATGTGTATTTATCCATCACTCATTACACTACATGTAAGACCCTCTTACGGTCTGGATTTGCTGTGGGACTGAAAGCATGTCGCTGATAAGGTAAAAACTCATGTCCTTCAAATCTACTTTCCAACCAGAAGACCTGCGGCCTGTGCTGCCTCCTGGGGAGGTGGTGGAAACGGCCTTGCTAGTGTGCCCTGGAAGGTGGTCTAATGCCATGTCTGGCAGTGCCCAGGCAAGTCCTCCTGTCAGGCTGCTGGCATCATTCCTTCCTCAGCGCGGTCAGGCACGGGGACTCTGAGCCCTGGTGTGGGTGGTGAGAAGGAGGCAGACTTCCCTCTGCCCTCCTGACTTGACTCTGCTCCGTGGGCTTCTCAGGAGCTGGATGTGAGTTGTGTACCCCCTCCCTCTACAGCCCAGAGAGGAGCACATGTCCCAAACCTGCCCCTTCCCAGAAACCCATGGGTCCCAGAACAAGGCTAGGGGGCTGGGAGGAGATAACCGCAGGCTGGCTGACCCACTAGGGAAATGAAAAAGGTGGAAATTTGTGTTCAGCTGAGCACAGTTAATCGAAAGGCTGGCTTTTGCCCCTGAGAATGATGCCATGATACCCTCAAAATAAGCACCCGCATCTCGGGCCTGCCCTTCAGGTCCCAACACCTGTTGCCTGCGGGACAGAGACCCCAGGCCCAAAATAGGCTCAGCTGCTGCGGATGCTGATCTCACCCAGAGCTGAGGCTGAGCCTTGTTTGGAGATGTGTGTCCCTTCACCCCCACCTGCCCTCCCCATTCTGAGCCTTGGGTCCTCAGGACAAGAGTTCTCTGCCTCTCACTAATCCAGCCTTCTTAGGGACGCCTGCTCCTCCTATTCCCCATTCCTGGGCACATGGTAGGCATCAGTAAGTGATAGATGATTGAATACACATGTAGAGAAACACAGAACTGAAGCTTTTAGTGGCAAAGCTCAGGAAAGAAGAGGGTCTGGCGCTGGGGCTGGTCTTCGCACGGCCGCACCTCACCCCCCAGGGCCTCCTCTCTGATACTCAGTTCTCTCTTCAGGCTTCTGAGCTGATGTGAATTGCACACAGCTATGCCCATACACGTTGTTTCAGAAATACAAGGAAACCGAGTTCATGGTCAGGATTGCTCACAAATCTATAGAGAACCACTTCTGGGTCTCACTGTCTCTATTACTGATATGTGGAGGCTGGAAGTCAGCATAAGAATAACTCGTTTTCCCCAAGGGCACGTGGATTCCCCTCTGCTTTATTTTTCCTTCTGGAATTCAGTCCAAATATGCACTGAGCACCTGCTGTGTGCAAAGCACTGCTCATTGCTAAAGGGATGGACTTTCTCTTGGTCTCCGACTATAAAAGTATGTCACCCTGTCACCTTTCCCCACATCCCCCCTCTGTGTTTCATTTTCATCATTACTATTTGAGTATTTGTATTTCCTTAACTGTCCTCGAGGTTTGAGATTCTGTCCTACTTATCTTTCTGTCCTTGGTCCACTGGGTAACCCTATGTGGATGACAACTGTCCACAGCTGTCCTCATCTGAGCTGCCCTTCTGTCAGCAAGCTGGTGTCAGGGTTCTTGAAGAAGGTACCCTAAGGGTGTCCATCACCCACTCCCCTAAATCTCCTCAGGGCTCCTGAACGAGGGCCATGTCCCATTTGGTAGAGGACAGAGAAGGTCCACAAAGGCCCAGGCCTTGGGGCCTCTTGCTCCTCACTGCCATGGACAGCCCGAAACATCTTAGCCAAAAATAATCATGTTGCCCTGGGGGCCTGAGTCCTGATGGCCTGCTGCCAGGGGCTTGTGAGCCTCCGGAATGTCTCAGCGTTGTTCAGGGTAACCAGATCGCCACACAGCTCCAGCAAGAAGCCTCAGAACCTCTCCACCTCAGCTGTTTTTAGTAGCGGGATTATTGGCAAGGGTGGAAATAGACCTCCGTGTTCTGGACAGCTTCCTCACCCCACATTCCTAGGCACACTTTGCTTTATTAAAGCTTTCAGCTGTCACAGTGATCCAGGCATGGAGAAAGGGAAGGCTGCCCTCACCAGCTGGTGACAGGCTGCAAATGCAACCAGTTTTCACCCCATAAGGGCATGGTACTCTTATTAGAAGCTGTGTCCCTCACATGTCCTTAAGAAGGGGGCCATCTGCCAATCATAAATCAAGATCTCATCTGTTCCAAATAAAGGAGTCTAGCGTCCTAGCTGAGGTCCCTTTATAGCTGACAGATGTTTTTTTTAGTCCTGTGCTTGAACATACGGTCCTTGTGTAATTAAAAATTATAAAAGGTAACAGAAATCTACTGCTAAGAGGTTTGAGGCTAAGTAAGGAATTTAAAAAGTCTGAGGTTTCTGGATAATAAAAGAATTACAGAATTATGGAAGAGGAAAGAAAGGCTATTGAGAAAAAAGGAAAAGTAATCAGCAGTGCCCCTTAATTTGGAGGTAGTGGGATTCCATCTACAGAAGTTAGCCAGAAGAGGAAGGGCCCTTCACCCTTCTTTGCCATCCTGTTCTGGGGATCTTGAGAAAAGAACCAGTAGCTATGACAAATAAGCTGAAGATCATCCAAGTTCCTACTGAATGGTCAAACGGCACGAGGGGAGACTGGATGGGCTGAGGGTGGGCACCAGAAGGGTTAGGTGGAGCTCCTGGAAGAAGATAACAGAAATAATCAACAGTCGGAAAAGAAAAAGAACGTCTGCTCTGGGTTTTATCAGCACGGTTCCAACACAGCTTTGCCCACGCCCCACGTCCTCAAAGTGTTTCTCATGTCTGTGTTAACAGCTGCTCGGGTAGGCACTGCTTTGTAGTGCAAAAGAGCTCTGGGGTCTAGAGAGAATCCCAGCTCTGTCATTTTGACTTTGAGCAAGTTACTGTGCTCCAGTTTTTTCTTCATCTGTAAAGCAGAATGATGGGCCCATTATGTCATCACTGAGTTGTTACATGGATGACTTGAGGTAGTGCATGCTGACAGCTGTGGTCAGAGGTCAGTGAATAGAGTCTGGTGTCATCTTCCTCTCCGTTCCCAAAGAAGGCTCACCCCCTCTTTGCTTGTGTGGCCATCCGGTCCTCCTCTGGAATGAGACTCATGCTTTTATTTTTCTCTCTACAATAAAAGGGCTTCTATTTTCTAGAGTCATGGGCACCCTTTGCTTTATGGAATAAATTGAACAGTGGCAATGTTGGTAATAATATGAACTCTCAGAAAATTAGTTTTTCCAGTTTATTCTTCAGAAAATCAGAGCCTAATAGTCATGAATAGCTTCCAGAACCCAACTCCTCACCTTCTCCTTTGGGGGAAATACCGTGCTTTGCTGATAAGGGGACATATTAAGTCTTGCAGCCACAGAGGCTTTCGTTTGTGGTCCAGTTCTGCATAAAATGTATGAGGGACCTCTTTTATCAACTTTTTTAAGTCTGAAAGTCTGTAAAACAAGTTCACATCAAAGATGACCCATCTGTGTTTATTTCTTCCTTCCCTCCTTTCTCTTTCTTTCTTCCTTTCTGATCTGTATTTTACTATGTATTTTTCAAAGATAAGAACTATTTTAGAAAATGTAATCACAGTATCACTTTATACTTGAAGATGAATGATAATCCCATAACACTTTCAAATATTCAGTCAATATTCAAATCTTACCAATTGGAGTGTGTATGTGTGTTTGTGTCCTGACAAGGTCATACAGTGCAATTGGGGGATTGGTCTGTTAAGTCCCTTTCAATCTGAGTTCCTCCTTCTACTTCTTTTTTCTCTTCTTCCTTGAAATTTATATATTGAAAAAACTAGATTTTTTTTTCAGTTGAGTTTATTGGTTGTATCTTGAGTCTCTGTTCCCTGTATTTTCATTAAGTTGGTGGTCACATACAGAGGCATGATCAGACCCAAGTTAGGTTGTTGGGCAGGAATTCTTCCCAGGCAGTGATGTGTACATCTATTGGGAGGTATATATGTCTAGTTGTATACATTTTTGTGATACTCGTAGTTGAAACTCATGAAGGGTTCCTAATTCATATCAGAATGGTGATATTCCCATTCTTTCCCCCTGTCTTTATGTATCAGTTTGGATACTCTGCAGCAGGAAACCGCACGCGCTCTCTCTGTCACCCACCTCCCCCAGAAGGCAATCTAGAGAAGTCCTGTAAATTCTGAGAGGCTGTGGACGACTGCAGCCCTTCAGGCTGAAGCCTGGGCCTGTTCTCATGGCTGTGATTTCCTCTCGGCAACAGCCACCACCAGAAAGACGTGCCGATTTTAGTCCCCGTGGTGCCTTGAAGTAAGGAGAGCAAGACAAGGAGGGATGGTCTTTGAGACAAAATTATCTGAAAACACTGATAGGCTGAATCTCCTTTCTATATAATGACAAATCCCAGAAGGTTCTGAACTTGGTGCTGGAGATTAAAGAGAACTCTGCACCTTTAATTCCCACAGTCACCTCCTAATCTTCTAGAATCAGATAAAGAAGGCAACTTGTCAACTATTTCTGATAAGTTTAATTATCAGAGCTTACAAATAATTCCAGGTTAGATGACACTCTTTCCAGTAGCAGACCAGCCAGCCAGTTATACTGACTTCCTGCCTAATACAACAACCTGCCATATTACCCAGGGTGAACCTGGGTAAAGGGTAAGATTTTCTCCTGTGTGGCTTTGAAATAGTTCAGACAGAACCAAGGACTTGATGATAGATTTAGACCGAGCTCCTAGAAGGATCTGATGCTATTTTATTCATTTGTGTATTCCTGATAGCACAATGTTTGCATGGAGGGGCTGCCCGACAGACTTCTGCTAGATCCTAGAGATACACCCCTGATCGAACTTAGAGGAGGGGAAACTGTCCCTTGCCCTATAATCCTATTCAACCTGAGGCAGGTTTTCCTGACCTGAACATTTGGGTATTTCCCTCATATCTTATTGAGGGACTGCTCTTTTGACAAACTCCCTCCCTCCCCCACTGCCAAAGCAATGGTTGACCTCAGAGTATTTTTTTCCTTCTGATCTAATCTAAAATTTAACCCAAAAGCCATCTCCGCCTGTTCCCATCACATCAAATGAATTCATCAAGCCACCTGCTTTACTGAATTCCAAATTAGGCATAAAAGTCACCAAACAATGAACTATTTCCACAAAGAGAAGAGAAAACAAATACAATGAAACAGGCCCAAATTGAAAACAAAGTTTAATGCAGGTGAAAAGCAGTCACATGGAAATTGAGCATGATAGGAATCATGAAAATATACATTTTGCATATTTTCTGTCCTGTTCAGAAGAGGATCACTCACTCTTCGCTCTCATGGACCACCATCTGCAGGGAAAGAGGGCATGGTTAGTTATGTCAGATGGCAGGGATGCATTTCTTCCTGCTCTCAGGGAGATTCTTGCTTGTATATTTCAGTAGGACACAGGATGTGTTTTGGATGTCAAGAGAAGAGACAATTGCATATGGGGAGGAAGTCACCCCACAGACTGAAAAACTGGCCCTCAGAGAGTATAAGCCCCATGGGCTGAGACTTTCAGCCTACAGTTATCTACCTGCATGTCTGTGACTGAAGCCGAGTGTGTACAGAGGGTGCTTGGAAGATCTCTGGGAGAAACTTCTTTTTCAGGATGGTGATTGGCTTATTGTGACTTACAGGACCTGGGTTCTAGTGGGACCCTTCTCAGCAAAGTGACGTTAAGCAAATCCTTCCTTTCCTGAGCCTGAGATTGAGCAGGTCTAAAGCAAAGAGTTCCCTAAGGTTCCTTCCAGTTCAAAACATTCTCCTTCACTGTGGGTGCTTCCCAGGTTGGCTCGGGAGCCACGATGCCAGCACACATCTGCTGCTCTCCATCTAGTGCCCACGGGAACTACCTACCCTGCTGGAGGTGAAGTCTCGGGTCTTAGCACGAAGCTTATTGACTTGAGATTCTGCAATATCAGCACGTTCCTCAGCCTCCTCGAGTTCATGCTGGGCTTTTCGGAATTTGGTGAGATGAGCGTTGGCTTGTTCATCCTGAAACCGAAGAGTAAGACCGGTAAGATCAACATACACCTCCCTTGGTGCTCCCATTGAGAAGCAGAGCGGTCTGCTGTTCTAAGACCACAAACATGTCTGACTTACAGCCTCCTCAGCCTGCCTCTTGTAGGACTTGACTTTCACTTGAAGTTTATCCACCAGATCCTGTAATCTCAGCACATTCTTCCTGTCCTCTTCACTCTAAAGGTGAGAACATGGGACTGTAACTGAGCTGGGGGTGGCGTGCATGAGGTCTGGTCAGTTGTCTGGGGATAAAGCGTTTCTTCCTGTATTCTAGGGAGAGACCTAGGTTGGTGTTTGCACTTGACGGAGAAAATGCCTATCCGGTTTTCTTTCCACTTACCTGGTAAGTTAACTCCTTGACCCGCCGCTCGTATTTCCTCAGACCCTTGACAGACTCAGTGTTCTTCTTCTGCTCCCCTTCAAGCTCAAACTCCAGCTCTCGTATCTGGGGAAAATGGTTGGGGAATTGGTCTGGGGTGGGAGCAAGAATGGGGTGACCGGGAAGCTCTGCTTATGCTGGGGTTCATCCCGCAAGTACCCGTGTCTCCAGTTTCTGGATCTGCTTCTTCCCGCCCTTCAGGGCTAGCTGCTCAGCCTCATCCAGACGGAGCTGCAGGTCCTTCACCGTCTGCTCCAGGTTCTTCTTCATCCGCTCCAGGTGGGCGCTGGTGTCCTGCTCCTTCTTCAGCTCCTCGGCCATTATGGCCGCCTGAAAAGCAAATTATACCCACCAAAATGCAGACAAAGATCTAGTGCCTCGGACCTGTCAAAATCTGGCTACCCAGAGGGCCAGAGCCACTAAAGAAAAGATAACAAGTAAGGTAATGACTGAGCCCCCTTTCTGCAGAGGAAGGGGAGAAGAGCTGCACCAGGTGCATAAGAAATGGAACCTCCAAGGACTGGATGGGACATGGCTTTTCCCCTTTCTTAAAGGGGCCTCCCCAGGACCTTCCCCAGCCCCAAGGAAATTCGTTAATTGTTACCATTATCACCAATATATGTTCTCAAAGGAACCTGAGAGGCAGAGAAAATTGAGTTGTTACCTAGTGTCGCAGGTTTGGGAGAAGTTAGGTCAAGGGCTGGGAGGCCTTTACGGAAGGGAGGTATGCGGAAGGGACCGGAGAGCAAAATAGGTCATGTCCTCCCTCGGGCGGCAGGTGGCGCTGTGGGAGCCGGGGCCTCAGGGTTAGGTGAGGAGGAATTTGGTGGGACATGGACATCCGAAGACCTCGTTTTCATATTTGGAATAAGTCACAGGCTGACGGAAAGAAGAGCACACTTCTCCACGGGCATAGGAAACGGAACACAATCCCTTCCAGCCTCTTTTTCCTGTGCTCCATTACTTCGCATACGCACCTTTTAAATGTGCTGGAGGGGACACTGAGTTGGAGGAAAGGTGCGGTGCATTTTTGGAGAGAGCACACCTCCCGTGTGCCCCCAGGGGCCCCCGACCTGTCTAACAGGGACCATCTCAGGGTCGGGAGCGGGGAGGGGGCTTTAATGAAATACAGCCGTGGAGCCACGCAGGAGCAGGGAGCCAGGGCCGTACATCAGTGATGGCCTTCTTTGCTTTCTCTTCAGCATTCCTTGCGTCCCTGCTGGCGTCTTCCACCTCACTCTGGAGCTGCGTGAGATCCGTCTCCAGCTTCTTCTTGGTGTGGATGAGGCTGGTGTTCTAGGGCGAGAGGAGCGGTGTCACCCAGGGGAGTCTGGCGTGGAGGCCGCCCCACCTGGCTCGCTGCTCACCTGGGTGTGCAGCAGCTGCACCCTCTCGTTGGCGTCTAGGAGCTCCTGTTCAGCCAGTTTCCGGGCTCTCTCCGTCTGCTCCAGAGAGGCCCGCAGCTCCTCCACCTCGGCCTGCAGCAGGTTGGCTCTGCGCTCTACGATGGCCAGCTGCTCCTTGAGGTCCTCCTGGCCCCGGAGGGCGTCGTCCAGGTGCAGCTGCGTGTCCTAGCCGGAGAAGGAAGGAAGCGTCTGGTGAACCTGGGGCCTTGGGACCCTGAGCGTAGCCTCTATCTTTGAGCTTCCGAGGACAGCAGAGGCTTCCCGGTGTCAGACCTTCAGCTGGCCCTGGACGCTGCGCAGGTGTTTGAGGGTTTCTGCCACCTGGCGGTTGGCATGGCTCAGCTGGATCTCAATTTCGTTCAGATCCCCCTCCATCTTCTTCTTGATCCTGATGGCTTCGTTCCTGCTGCGGACCTCAGCATCCAGGGCGCTCTGCATGGTCTCCACCGTTCTCTGGTAGTTCCTCTTTAGCTGCTCAATCTCTTCATCTTTCTCAGCAATCTTTCTGTCGATTTCTGATTTCACTTGTGTCAATTCAAGCTGAATTCGAAGGATCTTGGCCTCTTCATGCTCAAGGGCTGCCTTTAAAGAACAAAAACAAAATAGAAATAGTGCCAGGGAGGGTATGGAGCCTGTTACAGTACCCTTTGGGGTAATAAAGTGTGTAACTCCAACTCTACAATAGGCAGAACTCTCGTTTTAAAAAATTCCTAATTTATCTTCAATGCAGGAAAAAAAGTCTGTTGCATTATTTGTTTTTGATTACACTATAAACAGTGATAACATCGAAATCACAATTTTTAGGAGCATAAAGCAATGTATGTATATTTTAAATCATCTAGCTTTTGTAAAATCTCATTTTTAGACTTAACTTTAACAGAATGATTTTCTCCAGTAAAGTCAAGATAATTCACAGTATTGTTTCATTCAAACTCACAGTTAGGCTATTTGATGGGACATTAGGACTGTGACTTTCCAGTGGCAAAACTAAAGACACAGAGTGAGGCCAGCCAGCCTCAAGGCCAGAGCTCCACCTTTATTGCCTCTCTACTTGCTGCTTCCTCCCCAGACCCCAGCTCACCTCTGCTTCCTCAAGAGCCAGCTGGATATCAGCCTTTTCCAGCTCGATCTGCTTTCTTGATTTCTCCAGTTCATGGATGGTTTTACCATTTTCAGCAATTTGTTCTGTGAGATCTGCTATCTCCTCTGCAAAGAAATTAGTTTTGATTGCATTTGAATGCCTCTGCACAGGCTTCCAGGCATGCTAAGCACCAACTAACTGCTTTTAAACTAGTTTATTATAATTCTAAGGACGCTGTTTCCTAGAGAGAAGATATCACACAGAGAGAGACTCAAAAATAACCCTTCAGATGATGTATACTTCCTGTGCATGCATTAAGGGCACGTGTGTAGGGACTTGAGTCCTGAAGTCACAGACACTCCGGCACACGCTCAGGTGATAGAAATTTCAGAGTATTTCAAACTACTTACGCTCCAAGTTCTTATTTTCTCGTTTCACTGTTTCAAGGTGATCTAAGGCTTCTTCGTAGGCATTTTTCAGTTTGAAGAGCTCGGTGCTCAAGGAGCGGGATTCCTTCAGAGATGCTTCCAGCTCCACCTGGCTCTCTTCACACTTTGTTTTCCACTCGGCTAGCACCTGGAACACCGAGATGGAAGCAGTCTCCCTTTACTAGCTCTTCTCCACCCAGGCTTCTAACTCAGTATAACCAACAAGGTAAATATTCTTAGACTTGGGGCTATCCTCAGCAGTGTTCTCTAGCCTAGTTTCTTGTTCTTGATTATTAGACTTACCAAGATTTTGTCCCATAAATTTATTCAAGATCAGTCACTGATCCAAAACAACTGCCATCTCCAAGAAGCAAATGGATCCTTTGAGAAGGAATTAGCTGGGTGGGAATAATTGTCCTTTTCCTAATATGAAAATGACCTTACATTCCTAAGTATTTCATTGAAACTTTGGTTGAAACCAATCGTACCTGCCATACTGAAAGGGGAGTTTCCAGTAAGCCCCTCAGTGGGACCTGAGTTAGATTCCCATATGTCAGCTGCCCAGACAGGCCAGCAGTAAGTGTGGGGAACAAAAGTGTTTGGGACTGAACAGCAGTATAGATATTGTACTGGTTTGTCTCCACTGACAATGCTTGAAAGGGACCTCCACCCCCATCCCATTCCCATTTTGCAGTTGAGGAAACTATAGCCCAGGAAGTTTAGGGACTTGCCCAAGGTCACACTGCTGGTGGGGGAGTCAGGCCTGGACCCCAGGCTCCTCCTCCCATGCCAACTCCCATCCTCACTTCACAGTGTTCAGCCAGCATGGGGCTGACCCTGCACCTTGTCAAAGTTCCTCTGCTTCTTGTCCAGAGCAGCGGCCAGCGAGTTGGCTCTTTCCACATCAACCATCAGATCCTCAACTTCTCCTTGCAGCCTCTGCTTGGTCTTCTCCAAGGAAGCGCATTTCGCATTCACTGCCTCAACCTGTTCCTCGGAATCTTGAAGACGCTGAGCAAGTTTTTTCCTTAAAGAATATGAAAGAGAAGCAGATGCTATTTAGGTTTCACTCCTCTTGAACATCACTGTTCATCAAGTTGGAATCACTTATCTGTGTGATTTAAATACCCATTTGCTTTCATAGCCCAGGAGAATTTCCCAACTGCTAACCATCACTGATGGATAACCTGCCTTGCCTCTAACCAGCATCACAGCGGTCTGTCTTAGAGAAAGGCACCAGGTCCTTCTAATGGCTCAGCACTGCATTGAACACAGATGAGGTGGGGAAACACCCAGTGACAAAACAAATGCATTCCCAAGTAGTTCTAAAGTCAGGGCCCTCTGTCATACGATCATTCAAGAGTTCTAGCTCTTCAAAGGCAAATGGAGTTGGGTACTTGGCCTCCTCCAGCTCCTCTGTGCGCTGGATGGCGTCCGTCTCGTATTTGGTCCTCCACTGGGCCACCTCACTGTTGGCCTTGGACAGGGCCCTCTGCAGCTCGGCCTTGGCTTCCTGCTCCTCCTCGTACTGTTCCCGCAGCAGGTCACAGTCGTGGCGGGAGGACTGCAGGGCGTGCGCCAGGGCGTTCTTGGCCTATAAAAGTCAAGACAGGAGGAGAGCTCCCAGGGGATTAATACTTCAGTGCCACGTGCATGATACAGTCTGAGTATGTTCCTGCTTCCTCACCACCAAGTAAAGTTGCCTTTCTTTCCTGGAGGTGGTACTTGAAAATTAGATCAAGGAAGGGCTCCCTCAGGCCATGTACCTTGCTCTCTTCCTCTAACTGCCTCTTGAGCTCTTCTATTTGCTGGGTAAATGCTTGCTTGCTCCTGGAAAGTTGGGAGACTATGCTTTCCTTTTCTTCCAGTTGACGACTCAGCTCTCCTGTATCCAGAAGGAAACATGTTCATTTTATTCATTCATTCACCAAATTCCTCCTGTGTGTAAGGCACTGCTCTAAGATCTGGGGAGGGAGTAAATGACAAACAACGGTCTTTTCTTGGGGGAGAAGGGCTGTGTCCCTGAAAAGGAAACTCAAAGCACAACCTGCTAAGATGCCATTGTAAATGACTAGAAGCTTGGAGTGACTTCTGTGGATGAAGCCCATGCAGAACAACTGCAAATTTAAACATTACCACCTGAAAACTCCCATTAGACCTCCCAGTGGCTGGTGTTTCCAGCTGTTTGTTGATTTGCCACGATGAGAAATATTGCTTTCTTTAGAGCTTTATATCTAGTAATTTGCAGTTAGACTCAGGCAAATATGGTAAGTTCAGGTTTATATAGAGGTAAGAGGGAAAAAAAAGATTGGGGGAGAGGCCTTATGACTCCAGAGGTGAATTCCCAAGGTATTGGACAAGTAGCAACTAAACTTATTTTCTTTGTCATCTTGGTTATGGCTGCAAGCAAAGAATCAACTCACCTGTAAAAATGGGCTGGAGGACCAGGCTGGGTGGAGCCACATTTTCTAGGTGAAGCCCTAGATCTTGTCCCCTATACTTTTATTACACACTAAGAACCCATGCAAATCGGCCCTATTTCTTTCTTTCTCATCTAAAATACTTGATTGCAGACACTGAATCTGACTTTATGTGCAGCAAGAAGTAGAAAAGCCATAGATAGAACCAGGTTTCTAGTTCTGTTTCTGCCATTCAGGTTTTTTTTCAATGCAAGGAATTAGTTTTGAAAGCTCTTGGACCAGGTGAAACTTGGGTCCCTCCTCGTTTGGGTCTACTTCTCTCTTGTTTTTACTGAGCTCTCAGTGTTTTCCTCTTTCAGGGTATTTTGAATTTTTGGTGAGTAACTCTGATGGCTCCTCTCCTGAAAGTATGCTTTCCTAGAAATTCTCACCCCAAATAAATACTGCCCTTTGGTTCTGACCAGTTGCCGCCTTTTGATGGTCTGGGATCTGTTGCCCCCTACCATTTCCACCGCTCACCAGCCTCAGTCTGAAGACGAGCCTTCTGCGTCGTCAGCTCGCCCATGTTCTTCTGAATTTCCTCATTCTTGCCCCTGGCCTCACTTAGCTGATCCTCCAGGGTCCGGCATATCTTTTCCAGATTTGCCTGAAGGATTGAGAAGGGGGAGAAAAGTAAGTTAATACTCGGATTTGAATGACCCCAGAGGTCTGTTTTACCAAGAGCCTTGGGCCCATCCTGCCCAACACCTTAGATTTCGACACGCTCTCCACGTTGCTGGCCAGGTCGTCGATCTCCAGCTTGAACTCGCTCTTCTCCTTCTCCAGCTTCTGCTTGACCCTCTGCAGGTTGTCAATCTGCTCCCCCAGCTCGGCCACGCTGTCCGCGTGCTTCTTCTTCAGTGCTGCCAGCGTGGCCTCGTGCTGCAGGGTGGCCTCCTCCAGGTCCCTGCGCAGTTTCAGGAACTCAGCCTCGCGCTTCTTGTTGA